TTACCCCCAGTTATGTCCATCTTCCCTCTGTTCTTGTTGTGGGGCTTCAGGGAAGAAAGAGCAGGGTCAGGGGGCACGGGTGTCACTGGTACCAAATGCCTGCCCCCGAGTTTGTTCCCCAAAGTCCATCCTCATCTCTGTCCTGGAGGGAGCGCAATGAAAGCTCGTTGTCAATTTACTTTGGAGTTATCTCACAGTACTTTCAAGCCATGCACTTGTATTCCTAAACAGTATTTGCCTCAGATCACATAACTAGGAGTCAGTAATCTTTGGGTGGCGAGGGCCCAGTGTCTGTGCATTCTGCTGCTGCTGATAAACCCACCATGAACTTGAGTCTGAGCGCGTAGGTGTGAGTCGGCTCCCAGCTAGCCCTGCGCAGGTGTTGCCGCCGAGGGTGAGCAGCTGTACAGAGCATTTTCGCACATTATCTCTGAAACTGTGAAGTCTTGTAATGACACCATTATTACCGTCATATGTAGACGAGGAAACCGAGCTTCAGAAAGAGGCGGCGATTGGCCCGAGGCCAGGACCCGGCCTCAGACCCTAGATCTCCAGTACCAGGGCGGTGCCAGGGGGGTGGATGGGGGAAGGAGCAGGGCCCAGGCCGCCTCTCAGCAGAGGGAGGCACAGATGTGCTCCCAGTCCCCCTGGCGCCACAGAGCCCCAGGTTGGGACACTGAGCTGTGGGAAGACCCTGAAAAGGGTGGGGCCGAAGTAGAGCCACACCAGCTTGAAGGAGAGGAAGCTGGAAAAATGTTTTTAATCCTCAGCGGGTCGTGTGTTTATTGATTTTAGAGAGAAAGAAAGGGAAAGAGCGGGGGAGAGAGAGGGAGAGACATCGATTGGTTGCCTCCTATATGTATCCCCACTGGGGATCGACCCACAACCTAGGTATGTGCCCTGACTGGTGATGAACTCACAGACTTTTGGTGCATGGGGACGACACTCCAACCAACCGAGCTACCCAGCCAGGGCAGAAGCTGGAGTTTTAGGGGTTCCTGCAGGACCTAGGAATAAGAGCATATCTGCGCAGAGCCCTATGTAGCTGGGGACCCTGGCAAAGATAGCAGAGAGGCGAGAACAGGGAGGACTCTGGACAGGCAAAAACATTTTGTCCTCAAGCCTTCTCAGTCTGTGCATGACAGGAAATTCCTCAACTCTCCCGGGGCGCCCTGCTTTCCTGGCCACTGCAGCCCGGTCAGAGAAACACCATCTCTGCATTTCCAATCCCGGGCCCCCGGCCCACTGCCGGGCCTTTGCCAAGGCCGCCTGGTTGCCCCTCTGTCCGAGGCAGCAATGCTGCAGGCTGGGGCAAGGGAGCAAGGGAGGGGGGGGCCTGAGAGCCCATCCTTTGGTCACGGATCGTGGGGTTACCCTGTCTCTACTCCCCTTGGCCTTCAGGTCCATGCCCTTCACACCACACCAGACGTGAGGGAATTGTCCCCGGGGCTCCCAGGCCTTCCTGGGCTCCCCCATCCTCATTCCCCGAGGCTGTGCCGGGAGAGGCCTGCAGTGAGCTGTGTTTCGTTTTCAGTGCAGAGAGATGGAAATTCAGTGGCAGACATTTTCTCGGGTATGTAAAGCACCCTGGAAATGAATCCCCGCAACTACATGCTCCCTGAGGAAGACCTATCTGTGGCCCTGTGCAAACAAGAACCCAAAATACCAGAGTCTGTTCCCCCCTAAGCTTAGAGTTTCAGTTAGAGATATCATAGCCCTCTCTGCCCCTACATCTGTCCCTGCCAAAAGGCAAAAATCACAACAACAAAAACTCACAAAAGGATTATTGAAGGTTAAAGCCACCTGCCTCACAGGACAAAGGGTAAGACCACAGACTGGGCAACGTGAGCTCATCCTGCACCAGGGCTGTTTGTGTGGGAAATAGTCTCTGGCTCAGCCCTTTGCTGCCTCTTCCCCTTCTGCTCATGTGAGGCCAGTCAGAGCCCAGCTTGGGAGGATTCCAAGAATAATGGAAGACCTATTTTTTAAAGGATATTTTATTGATTATGCTGTTACAGCTTTCCCAATTTTCCCCCCTTTATCCTCCTTCACCCTGCACCCTCCCCCACACCCTCCAGCATCCCCGCCTCCTGTTACATGTCCATGGGTCGTACATGCAAGTTCCTCAGCTTCTCCGTTTCCCATACTATTCTTAACATCCCTCTGTCTGTTTTGAACCTGCCAGTTATGCTTCTTACCCCCTGTACCTTTCCCCATTCTCTCCTCTCCCCCTCCCCACGGATAATCCTCCGTGTGGGCTTCATTCTGTTCTGTTCTGTAATTGATGTTTGCTTAGTTTGCTTTTGTTTTTTCTTTTAGTTTTAGGTTTAGTCATTGATAGTTCTGAGTTTGTTGTCATTTTACTGCTCAGTTTTGATCTTCTTTTTCTTTTTTTTAAAAAGATTTTTATTTATTTACTTTTGAGAGGGGAAGGGGGGGAGAAAGAGCAGGAGAGAAACATCAATGTGTGGTTGCCTCTCGAGCTCCCCCTACTGGGGACCTGGCCTGCAACCCAGATGTGTGCCCTGACTGGGAATCAAGCCTTTGGTTCCCAGGCTGGTGCTCAGTCCGCTGAGCCACACCAGCCAGAGCCGATCTTCTTCTTTTTCTTAGGTAAGTTCCTTTAACATTTCATATAATGAGGGCTTGGTGATGATGAACTCCTTGAATTTGGTCTTATCTGAGAAGCACTTTATCTGTCCTTCCATTCTAAATGAAAGCTTTGCTGGTTAGAGCAATCTTGGATGTAGGTCCTTGGATTTCATGACTTGGAATACTTCTTTCCAGCCCCTTCTTGCCTGTAAGGTCTCTTTTGAGAAATCAGCTGATAATTTGATGGGAACTCCTTTGTAGGTAACTGTCTCCTTTTCTCTTGCTGCTTTTAAGATTCTCTCCTTCTTTTTAATCTTGGGCAACTTAATTATGATGTGCCTTGGTGTGTTCCTCCTTGGGTCCAGTTTCTATGGGACTCTCTGGGCTTCCTGGGCTTCCCAGAAGTCTATTTCCTTCACCAGATTGGGAAAATTTTCCTTCTTTGTCTTTTCAAATAAGTTTTCAATTCCTTGCTCTTCCTCTTCTCCTTCTAGCACCCCTATGATTTGGGAGTTGGGGTGCTTAAAGTTGTCCCAGAGGTTCCTAAACCTCTCCTCATTTTTTGAATTCTTGTTTCTTCATTCTGTTCTGGTTGGATGTTTATTTCTTCCTTCTGCTCCAAATCATTGATTTGAGTCCCTGGGAAAACCTATTTGTTAATCCATCTCCCCAGAAAACTGAGTGGGGAGTGAGTGGGCCAGCCCTGAACCCAAACAGCTGTTCCAGTTCACATCTTTGAAGAGCTGGTGCACTCCCCACTCACCCCACTTTCTCAGAGAGAGATCCCTCCCACCCCTGGCTTTCACCGAGGCGATATCGATATATAACAAACTGCGTATGTTCGTGGTATTTAGTTTGAAACCTTCATCACAATTTTCAGAAATAAACAACTCCATCACCCTCAAGTGCTGCCTCGCGCCCCTGTACAGCCTAAACCCACCAGCCACCGCCCCAGGCTTTGTGTCGCTGTGTTCCACGTTTCCTGGAACTGTGTACAGATGGGATGGCCCAGTATGTGCTCATTCTTCGTCTGGCTCCCTTTATTCAATGCAGTTTTCGTGAGATTTGTCCCTGTTGTAGGGCTCACGTCTGCCATTCACCCATTCCTTTTTGCCGAGTGGCGCTCCGTTGTATGGCTGTATCACAGTCTATCTATCCATCCACTTATTGGCAGGTTACTTTTAGTTTTGGGCAATTAAGATTGAAGCTGCTGTGAATGTTTGTGGACGTGTCTTCGTATAGATATATGCTCTCACTTCACTTGTATAAATACCCAAGAGTAGAATTACTGGATCACATGGTAAATATATGTTTAACTTTTTAAGAAACTGCCAAACTGCTTTCAAAAGGGACTGGGCCACCTTATACTCCCACCAGCAGCGTAGGAGAGTTCCAGTTGCTCCGTATCCTCACCAGCACCAGGCTTTTCAACGTGAGCCATTCTGGTGCATGCTGTGTCTTTGGCTTGCTTGGGGGGGGGGGTGGCTTAAAATCTCATGACATGGCAATGGAGCATTAGGAAGTCTAAGAAAACAGCGAGGAAGCTCTTCAGTTATTTTATAGAGAGGTATCAAGATACACTGCTGAGTGAAAAAGCAAGGTGGCAACAGTTGTGTGTACTGTGCTACCATTATTTTAAAGAAGAAAATAAGCCTGGCTGGTGTAGCTCAGTGGATTGAGCGCGGGCCTGCGAACCAGATATTTGCGGTTCGATTCCCAGTCAGGGCACATGCCTAGGTTGCAGGCTGGTTCCCTGTAGGCCAGTTCCCAGCAGGGGATGCATGAAAGGCAACCATACATTGATATTTCTCTCCATCTCTCCTTCCCTTCCCCTCTAAAAGATAAATAAAATAAAAAATCTTTATTAAAAAAAAAGAAGAAGAAAATAAAAGAACATGCCTATTTGCTTGTGTGCGTTCAATACGTAGATCACCTCTGGCAAGAGGAACAAGAAATTAAAAATCATTTGCCTCTGGGAAGAGATAGATACTTGATGGCTGGAGGGTGGGTGGAAGGGAGACATTACACATACTTTTTGGTGCCCTTTGAATTTGGGCCATACTTTTTTTAAAAGTATATACATTTAAGAAACAAAACCTCATAAGATGCCAAGTATTGGCTCCCCACCCCACTGCCTTGAAGCTCTCCTGAGGAACCAGAGCCCGCACCGGGCGTGGCCCTGATAGGCCTCCGGCTCCCCCACTGCCAGGAGCACTGTCGCGCCAGGCAGAGAAACGGGCACCCCCGCGGCCCAGTCCGCAGGGCCTCCCCGAGGTCCTCACCTATTCGTGCTCGGTTTCTGCTGGGAACCTGAACCTGATGGTCCTGTGCCCACGGTCACTTAGTCTGTTTGGCAGATGGGTGGGGAGTGGACAGATGTTCATCCACGTTCTGTCCTCTGCACACAGAGAAGAAGAGCGACAAGGAGCGCGACTTCCTCCTGCCCCCAGCCGCCAGCAAGCCCGTCGCACCCCGTTTCCTGCAGGGCCTCTCGGACCTCAGAGTCATGGACGGCAGCCAGGTCACCATGACAGTGCAGGTGTCAGGTGTGTCTCTGCCTCTTGCTCTTTAGCGTGTATGTGAACGTGGGCGTGGGCGCGGCTGCGACGCCGGGGTTGCTCCTTGCACGGTCCCGCTCCGACCACCTATCCACAGGTCCCGGCGTGGGACCGCCGGTCAGTGGGCCCCGAAGGAGTGGAGCCTCGTGGTCCCTCTCTCCGCTTCCTCTGGGCAGGATTTCCTGGATGCGAGGTTGAGTGGTCGGGTGGGGCGAGGGGGTCGAGGGATTACTGTGAGAACAGGGTGCAGCCCATGTAGCTGGGTGATTCCGAACCTCAGTGCTAAGCCAGATGGCATGAGAGCTTGCCAACTCTTGGAAGATAGTCTCAGTTGCTCTGTTCAGATTTTAAGGTAAGGAAAAGGAGCAGAGATTCTTCCCAAAGAGGGGCCGGGTGAGGAGCAGCCCAGCGTGAGAGGTCACAGTCCTTGCCGGTGGCCAGTAAGGGAGGCCCAAGGGTCAGGTTCCCTGTTCACTGTATAAATGATTGCTGGCCAATGACCTGTCTCTCTGATGCCTACTGGGTTGTTATTTATATTTTTATTATAACACACACGATTGCCAGAAAAGTGGGAAGTATTTTTATAAAAGGATTTTATTTGCATGTGTGTTATCCTTTTTTTTAAATTACAGTTTACACTCAATATAGTTGTGTCTTAGTTTCGGGCGTATGGCACGGTGGTCAGACAGTCATACTCTGCGAAGCGGCCCCCTGATGTTTTCAGTACCCACCTGGCACGGAGTTGTCACAATACTGTTGACTGTTCCCCGGGCTGCACTTCGCATCCCCAGGACTGCTCTGTAGCCACCAACTGTACTTCCCAGGCCCTTCGCCTTTCTCACACGGACCCCGGCTCCTCCTCCGTAGGCAGCCGGCAGCCTGCTCCCTGCGTCTCTGAGTCCGTTTCTATTTTGTTCGTTTATCTTGTTGTTCAGGTTCCACATACAAGTGAAATCACGTGGTATCTGTCTTTCTCTGTCTGACTTATCTCACTGAGCCCTCCTCAGTTCTGTTTCTCCTGAGCTGCACAAGCAGTAAAGACGGGCTGTGAGGGAACCCATCCCCCTTCCCCCACAAGCTGCAGGCAGCCCCCCACAGCCCAGGCGGAGGGTCGAGCCCCCGCCGGTGCCTGCGCTCCCTGAGTTCACAGGAATCACAGGAACCAGAGGCGCAGTGTGCCTGGCCTCCCGGACATGTGCTGGCTCACCTGGTGGGGACAGATGTGGCCTCCTGCCTCCTTGGGCCTCGCCAGAGCCTGGCACCAGGAGCCTCCCTCGGCGGCCGACCCGAGGCCTCGCTGCCTTTGAATGAGACGCAGCAGCTCAGCTCCCACCACAGAGGAAGCCCTCGCGGATGGCCATTGTTTTATACTTCAGTGAAATGCTGGAAACTGCACTGGAAAGTAGAACAGTAAAATCTGAAGATGATATCCTTCATGAGCCGTGTGCAGAAATCCTGTACGGGCCAGCACCCATGTTCACCCTGAGACAACATTTGAAATGCCGTGGAGCGTCCCTTCTGGTAAAGAATGATCAGGGAGTCACCACGAAGTCGTACTGAACTGCCCAGACGCTCACGCACGGTGTGAGTCAGCACCGGGCAGGAAACACGTCACTTCAAGCCCCAAGATCCAGTAACCACTTGGTATCGTCACGCAGTTTAAATTCCAGTTTTAAAAACCATTCTTCCTGGGCTTTCTTTTTCATCTATGAAACCATATTCTCTTTACTTGTAGATTCTTCCTAGTTTCCCAATCTGTTGTTGAATAATTATAATGAGCACGCATCTGAGCACTTTCTCTGCGCTGGACGCTTTCTAACCTGCTGCTCTAGTGGGCTGCTGAGGAGGCTCTGTGAGCTCCCTTCACCTCCCAAAACACCTGTGAGGTAGAAGACGTAGTCTCTTTCCGGTAGGGGAGCCGAAGCATGAAGAGTGTGGTGCGGTGTCACAGCACCACGTGGGGGGCTGCCGCACGCCCCAGGGAAGTGCCCGGCTGACCAGTCCCCTGACCTTCCTCCCCACTCAGGGAACCCGCCCCCTGAGGTCATCTGGCTCCACAATGGGAACGAGATCCAGGAGTCGGAGGACTTCCACTTTGAACGCAGAGGCGCCCGGCACAGCCTCTGTATCCAGGAGGTGTTCCCGGAGGACACGGGCACCTACACCTGTGAGGCCTGGAACAGCGCCGGGGAGGTGCGCACCCAGGCCGTGCTCACGGTGCAAGGTGAGGCTGGCCAGCGGGGGGGCGGGGGAGGAGGTGCTGCCATGGTCGCTCCAAAAGCAATCTGGAGGTGAGGAAACCACGTGAGCCTGCTCTGTTCCCACTATGGGCCCCCTGCTGTCTTGGTCCCAGCCCAGCCCCAGGGAGCAGCTCCTCTCTGCACACCTCAGGCTCTGGCTGAGTAGGCTGCTCTGCCCTGCCCATAAAGTCCCTGTGCTCTGTGGGTCACTGGTGACAGCTGCATAGAGTGCTAGGAGAGAAGTCTCATAATACATGTAACAACCCGACGGTGATGGCTGTTGACGTGAGTTATAGGCTTATTAGGGTCCTTGCCTTTACAGAGCCTCAGCCTGAAGGGGAGAAGAGCACACACAAAGCAAGTGACAGCTCTCAGTCACCACATCTAATGTAGACCCTTGGTGCCCCTGTCTACTCCAGGCTACCTCCCTGTGCTTTGGACACACGATACGTGTTACCGTTATCCTCTGAGAATGTAACCAAGACAGATTTGCTATTAAGAAGAGTGTTATATCTGTATATCCAATAAAAGCAATTTCTGGGCAAACTGTCATTTAATTAAATGCTGTCTTCCAACCTTTGCCACCATGGAGTGTTGAGTGGACGCTCTGCTGAAAGGCCTCCCTCTCTAACCAAACGTTTTGCCAACTTTCAGAGCCTCAGGATGGCACCCAGCCCTGGTTCATCAGCAAGCCTCGATCGGTGACAGCCTCCCTGGGCCAGAGCGTCCTCATCTCCTGTGCCATAGCTGGTGACCCCTTCCCCACCGTGCACTGGCTCCGAGACGGCAAAGCCCTCTCCAAAGACACTGGCCACTTCGAGGTGCTGCAGAATGAGGACGTGTTCACCCTGGTCCTGAAGAACGTGCAGCCCTGGCACGCTGGCCAGTATGAAATCCTGCTTCAGTGAGTCCCCATGCCCCACCCCCAAGTTCCTACCTCCTGTCAAAGTTCCAGCCTGGCACTGGAAGCCAGAGGAAGCACAAAATAATGTGGGGCTGGGCTTCAAGGTAAAGCGAGTGCAGACCAGGTGCTGCTGACAAGCTTCAAGCTTCTGTTTCTTCCACTGCAGTACGACAGATGTTCATGGAGAACCCTGCCTTCTGTGCTCAGTTCCCCAGAGTCCTCTGTCTCGTTACATTCCGACTTTTGTTCTCCCATTATTTGGTGTATGGTGACCATGAAGGAGGGAAGAATGGATTAAAATGGGAAAAGCAGCAGCTAGAGGGAATGTATTAGTTTTCTCTTGCTGCATAACAAATTAGCCCAAAACTTAGTATCTTAAAACAATAATGACCCCCTATGTCCTACGGTCTGGAAATTTGAGAAAGCTTAGCTAGGGGCTTTTTGGCTCAGGGTTTCACAGGAGGTTGTGCAGAAGATGCCAGGAAGGACCGCTGTCGCTGGCAGCTTCACGGAGGCTAGAGAATTCACTTCCAAGACGGCTCACTCCCTTCCAAGGGGCGCTCACTTCCAAGGGCCCTTGGCAGGCGGCCTCAGCTCCTTGCCAGGTGGACCTCTCCATGTGGCTGCGTGAGTGTCTTCATGACACTGCAGCTGGTTGCCCCAGTGCTGGTGACCCAAGAGGGAGAACAAGCTGGAATCTGCGATGTCTTTTATGACCCACCCTCAGAAATCACACACACCATGACTCCTGCCACATTTTATGTTGGTTAGAAGTGAGTCACTAAGTACAGTCCATACTCAAGAGGGGAATTAAGTTCCACCTTTGGAGAGAGGAGAATCTCTCTCCAAAATGTCTATGAAAAAATTCATAGACACTTTTAAACCACTACAGGGAGGTTAACTATCCCCATTCCCTTTTTCCTCCCTTTTAAGGTCTTTTCAGGTTACCGGGAAGGTAAGCTCCATGAAGGTACCCTGCCATGTTCCCAGTGCCTAGGACATTTCTGGCCCATGCTCAGAATGTGATCCAGTAAATGTTCTACTTTTAAAATGCTCTAAGCCACCGTGGCTGGTGTGGCTCAGTGGACCGAGTGCCAGCCTGCAGAGGAAGTGCTTCTGGTTCATCTCCCAGTCGGGGCACACTCTTGGGCCAGGCCCCCAACTGGGGGACCTCCGAGAGGCAACCGATCAGTGTATCTCTTGGGCACTGATGTTTCTCTCTCTCTCTTACTCCCTCTCTAAAAATAAATAAATAAAATATTAAAATGCTCTAGCTGCTAAAATTCCATGCCACCCCTGGACAATGGAGACAGAATGCCAGCCCCCAGGGTTGGGTAAGCATTAAAGAAGAGCACTTGTCTGCACTTGACCCTGCAGGTAGGAGATAGTGCCACATCCCGAGGATGATGCCACACCCCTGGCTGGGGTGCTCAGCCACTAGGTAAGGGGCCTCGCTCTCCTGGATAAATCATTCCCCTCCACCAAGCTCATCGTGTTTAAGGCTCTGAGCTACAGACAGGCTCTCTAGCCACATGCCAAAGCTACCGCTATGAAAGGGCATTGCTCCTACAATAATCACAAAATCTAGTTCCTGCCCCATCTGCTTGGGTCCTTTTTGGGCATGTGCTCTGTGCTTGTATCAGTTGGCTTTTGCTGCATAACAACCACCCCAGTACTTACTGGCTTTGAAAAATAGCCATTATTATTTCTTAGGAGTTTCTGGATCTGCTAACAAGTTCTGCTGAGCTGGGCAGGTCTCAACAAGTCTTAGCTGAGCTAATGTCACGTCTGCGGTCAGCTGGTAAGATGTGTGTAGGCTGGCCAGTCATCCTGCCATCAGCAGCAGTATGCTCGGAATGCAGCAATGGTCTTTGCCTTGTGTCTGAACAGTTGTTCTCAGAAAAGCAAATCTGCATCCCTAATAGGAAGAAGATATACTCTTCCAGTCTCCTAGGCCAGTACACATCATGGAAATGCCATATGTGGGAATAGAGCTCGTCTGCATGGGGGAGTAGTGCTTTGGGACAGTACTCGTGTTAATCAAACCGGAAACCCTAAAAGAGATGGGCTTCGTGGGGCATTTTGAGGAAGACAAGCCGAGGCTTAGAAACCAAGTAAAGGCTTGACTGTGGAAGGGGCCCGTTGGACAGGCTGAGCGAGAAAGGGCAGGGAAGAGCGAAGCACGGACTGTGGGACGTCGGCCAGGCCGGCACCAAGGGGTCGCACTGGGAGGTCGGCAGGCAGACTGTCTGGGCCCAGCTGGGGACAGTCATAAAACTTCGACCTTCCCACTTGGAAGGGACTTCAGAAGTTATCTAGCTGCCTCCCCATTTAGTAATGGGGGAAACTGAGCTCTCAGAATCGGGGACTTGCTCATGGCCGCCCAAAGGCCAGTAGCAGAGCCCAGATTAGAATCCTAATCTATGTCTTTAAATCGGGTGCTCTCTCATTCCTTACTTCTCCCAAGTGCACGGGGAACTCAGGGAACCTGGGAAATGGCACTGGAGTCTCCACCCCCACAGGCCTTGCCCCCTTTCCCTCCCCAAAGTCCAGACTTTTCATTCCTTTGGGAGGCTGGTGGCCTGGCCTTGGCTTTGTCCCCGGCTGAGCAGGAGCAAGTCAGTGGAAAGTTCTCCTGCGGAATGTGTGTGCCAGGCCTGCCAGCAGCCTCGCTCCCCTCTTGCTTTTCTCATCCTGACAGAAATCAGACCTAGACCCAGGACAGAATGCCTTTCAAGGAGGAAGACTGGGTGGCAGAGAGGATGCCGGGGCGGGAGGGCTGGGTTGGGGGTACAAACAGTGGGTGGTTTCTGCCTCCCCTTCCCTCCCCTAGCTCTTGTCTCCTGAACTAAAAGGGGGAATGTCAAAAAGTTAGCTCCAAATTCCAGCTGAAATATTTGAAAATTTTTTGCTTCCCAGGATATTAAATCTTTAAAGTAATTTCGCATATAAAATCACTCCAGTGGTGGGTGATTTAGGGCAGGACAGGCTCCAAGGCTTTGTACCCAAGGAATGGCTTCTTATTCAGGCGTGGGAGGCGGGGGCAAAATGGGCTCTGTTCATAAAAGTTGTAGCTTACATGGCGACAGCCCCATATCCTCTGTGGTGACATCTGGGCTGGACGTGGGGTGGGGGCCTCATCCTCAGCCCCTGCACATGCTTATAACTGAGTACATGCAGATACCAAACATGGTCCCCAAACCTGTTCCAGCTGGTTAGATTAACATGGGGCCCAGGCAAAAGGCCTCTCTGACCTTTTCGGGCTTTGAATAAAACATGATTTGCCTTAAAGGCCTTGCAGAAAGTTAAGTATATGGTTGCAGAAATAGTGACCCCCTAGACCACCCCTAGGGATGACTCACTTAGTGGGCCAGCTACGGAATCCAGGCTCTACTGTCCATCTGCCCCTCAGCCTGCCCAGGTGGCTCAGGGGAAGGCCTGGGAGTGGGGTGAGTGCCGGCCACCTGTGCTGTCCTCCTTGAGGGCAGGTAACGGAAAACAACTGACGCCTTTGCCCATGTCCACCCATGAGGAGATAGAGCGTACTCCAACTCAGGAGTCAGGGCGCCCCACCATTTAAAGCTTCTGAGCAGTTTGGCTGGGCTAAAGCAAGGCCATCTGGTCAGTGTCTGCGCCTGATTTTTGCATCTGGGCTGCGTTCTACTTATGACAGGAGGAAACTCAGTCAAGAAGATGTTGAAAAGGGCTCCCAGGAAATGATGGCCCTTGGGCATCCTGTCCTCCTGCTTCACTCTAACCCCAGGTCACCACACCCTGTGCCTGAAAGAAAAGTAGGGAAAGAATGGCCTCGTTCTGCCCAGCAGCCTTGCAGAAGTAGGGTGTCCGGCTGCTGGGCTTCCCCAGAGGTGACCTCTCATGGTTATTCTACAAGTTCCATAGCCTTCTGTGTTGAGTGTTGAGGGTGCTGTGAGGACCTCAGCCTGCCCAGGATCTGGCACCATGGAGGCACCTAAGTGATATTTGCTTACAGGGCCATTATTTTCTTCCTATTTGCCGAGCAAAGGAGCACCTTCAGCCATCGGACTCTCCAGGCATGAGGCTCCCAGAACCTTGAATCTGGGCCCCTGAGAGCCTGAGCTTTGAGGAAGGTGGCCGGAGGGGGACCCAACAGGTCAGAGGACGGGTGAGGGCAGCAAGGGCAACCTTTCCTAACTTCAAGTGGGTCCTGGTCCTGGGGAGTGAGCAGCAGTCCCCAGGAGCCATGAGAATCATCTGCCGTGCCCTGGGCTGCCAGTGTCTGCCCAGAGCCAGCCCTGCACGGGGAAGGAGGCCAGGCAGTGAGGCAGGTACGCACACCCATCAGTGACTCCAGGGACACGGGCTCAGATGTCTGCCCGTGTGGGGGACGGGTGCCTGGGCACATGTTCCCAAACACAGACCTCAGGTGCCGGTGCCCACCAGGTTGACCCACATACATGTGAATCCATGCATGTGGTTGATCTGTTCGTACCACATAGACACACACAAACGCACACATATCCCAGAAAAGATTTGTACTAATGATCCCTGTAGGGCTGGGTGGGAAGCTCATAGGTTTGGGATTTAGGTAGACCCATGCCTGGGGGTGTCGGCAAATTACTTTACCTTTGTAAGCCTCATGTTTCCTACCTATAAAAATGGTGCTGGCCCCAACCTCACAGAGCTCTCATGAGATTGAGATATAGATTATGTAAGGAACCTGTCGTTGCACATCTGTGGGACGAGGGAAGGTACGAGTCAGCCGAGGAAGTGCTAGTAAGATGGCTGTGTGCAGAGAATGCAGGGAAACCCCAGAATCCCAGCAATGCTTCAGATAAACTCCGGGCACCCCTTCCTTACCTTTAAAGTGAGCACAATGGTCCGTATACCTCACTGGGATGTTTGGAGACAAGAAGGACATCAGATGGGAAAACCGTGAAAGCTGTAGGGTGCTGTGTATGAAACGGGTGGTTGTTGCCCCGAAGAGTGGCCTTTGGCGTTCAGACGGCCCCTCCTCCCACCCTTTCCCCAGTCAGAGCTCAGAAAGGCCAGCAGGTGGCAGCCTTGTGGGGCCGAGGGCCGGGCTGCCACCGTAAATCCTCCACAGCTCCCGGGCCTGGGGCAGCCTGTCCGCTGAGCAGAGGCCGGTTACCCACCAGCTCGGAGAGGTTGAACAGTTTTAACAGTGGGTTGGAGGACCCAGGTCCCTCACCATATGAAGGAAGAAGAGAAAGGGCCGCCCATTGGGGAGACACTAAAAGTTTCAATACAAAAAAGTTCCAAACTGAGGGCATTAGCCAGTGGGTGTGAATTGGAGGGTGTTTTCATTTCACGGGCAGACAAAGAGGAAGTAGTGTATGGGGGACACTGTGGGGACAGGGAGGTGACCAGCTCTACATTAAGGGAGCAGAGTCAAACCGAAGGTCACTGGGCAGGCCGACCAAGGCCGCACACTTGAGACCAGGCAGCTGCATCACAGCCCTGTCAGGGTTCGTCTTTACTCTTCTTTTATTCATTGAGGGCTTGATTGGTTGTATTATTTTTGTAATATGCTTGCAGAAAAGTATTCCTACTTCCAAATGCCTATCTTAGCTGTTGTCCAGAAGCTGTCGTCTCTCTCTTCCCTTTTTCAACAAGAGCTGGGAAAATAAAGGAAGAGCCAAGCATGAGGGGAGGGGAAGGCCCTGCCCTAAACTTAGGTCTGGGGCAGGCGTGTTGGGACCACAGCTAAGCCTGTGGCCCCATCTCTCCTCGAGCCAGCAGCCAGACTGTGGTCAAGCCCCTGCCCGTCCTGCCCTCATCACAGCCCTTAGGCTAAGAAGGCCCTCAGCCCAGAGAGCCTCTTCATCCGTTCTGATCCCTTGAATTCTTCAGGAACCAGGTTGGCGAATGCAGTTGCCAGGTGTCACTGATGCTCCAGAGCAACCCTAGCCGAGCCCCGGCACGGTGAGTAGCCCCGGGAATTGACTGGCCAGGCCCCATGCCACTGTCCGCGTGCCTTCCTCCTGACCCCGCAGGCCCGGCCCGGCCGCCCGATTGTTTGTGTCCTCCAGCTGAGGCTGCCCAAGCCAAGAGGGAGTGATTGGGAGGGGACTGAGAGAGGGAGAGCAGGGGAGGAGAGGGGGGTGAATTTCTTTCTTTTTTTTTTTTTTGTACACACCCTTATAAGGCTACTGAAGTCATTACCAATGTAACAAACCAACTAAGCAAGCGAGCGCCTCTCACCAATGTTCCCTTCTATAAACACAGCCCGGCCAGCCCCCACCATTCCTTCCCCCTCCTCTCTACCCTCCCTCCCTCTGAGATTTGCTCTCCCCTGACGTTTCTTTTTTACCCGGCCCCTTTTCCTCCTGCTATTTTCCTTTTTCCCCTCACTGGTTGCAGGGGGAGGGCGCCTGCCAGCTGTGAGGGCCTCTGTGGCCGAGGAGCTGGTGCCGACGGTGGCGATGGTGACTGCTTCGGGACCCTGAGGCCTGGCTGGCCAGCAGGAGGGCAGGGTTGGCCAGAGGAGGAAGACGGCGAAGGCGTGCGGGGGCTGCTGAAGAGGCGTGTGGAGACCCGGCAGCACACGGAGGAGGCCATCCGCCAGCAGGAGGTGGAGCAGCTGGACTTCCGTGACCTCCTGGGGAAGAAGGTGAGTACCAAGACCCTGTCGGAAGAAGAACTGAAGGAGATTCCAGCTGAGCAGATGGATTTCCGTGCCAACCTACAGCGGCAAGTGAAGCCAAAGATGGTGTCTGAGGAAGAGAGGAAGGTTCACAGCCCCCAGCAGGTAGACTTCCGCTCTGTCTTGGCCAAGAAGGGGACTCCCAAGACCCCAGTGCCTGAGAAGGTACTACCTGCAAAACCTGCCACCCCAGATTTTCGCTCAGTGCTGGGCAGCAAGAAAAAATTACCAGCAGAGAATGGTAGCAACAGTGCTGAGGCCTTGAATGCCAAGGTGGCAGAAAGTCCCAAGTCCACGGGCAATGCCCAACCTTCAGGGTCCCTGAAACCTGTGGGCAACGCCAAGCCTGGTGAGCCCCCAAAACCCTTGGGCAATGCTAAACCAGCCGATACCCTGAAATCTGTGAGCAATACCAAACCAGCCGAGACTCCAAAACCTGTGGGCCACACCAAACTGGCTGAGCCCCCGAAACCTGTGGTCAACGCCAAGCCTGCTGAGACCCCAAAACCTATGGGAAATAACAAGCTAGCCGAGCCCCCAAAACCTGTGGGAAATGCCAAGCCAGCTGAGACCCCCAAACCTGTGGGCAATGCCACGCCAGTCGAGACCCTGAAACCAGCCAGGAAAGAAGAACTGAAGGAGGTTAAGAATGATGTAAACTGCAAGCAGGAGTATTCAGGAGCCACAGATCATGAAAAAAGATCAGAAAGCCAAGGGACAGCCCCAGCCTTCAAGGAGAAACTACAAGATGTCCGTGTGGCAGAGGGCGAGAAGCTACTACTCCAGTGCCAGGTGTCCTCTGATGCCCCAGCCACCATCACCTGGACGCTGAATGGAAAGACTCTCAAGACCACCAAGTTCATCATCCTCTCCCAAGAAGGTAATGAGAGCAGGGGCTGGGGAGGAAGGGACTGTGGCATGAGGGTCACTGTCAGCTCATGGACCCTCGGTCTCATTGATCACCACTCACAGCCCAGACCTCTGAGTCTCCCTCACTCACAGGATAGGTGCCCTGCTCGGGGTCCATGAACACCCACCATTCTGGGGGTGGGGGTGGTGTCCCTAGTCCTGTGGCGTGTGCCCAGGTCTTGGCATCTGCCCAGCAGAACCCTCTTACAGGACCCCCAGCAGCGGCCTCCGCAGAGCATGGGGCGCCTGCGCTAGTGCCCCACAGCTCTTGCTTGAAGAGGGCTCTGTTCACAGGCTTGGAAATGGAAGCACGGGGGCTGGAGCCAACGAGGGGCTGAGAGATAACCGTTGTTTTTGCAACGGCATTTTGGTTTGGAGAAGGGTGCGCAGTGACTGGACGGCACGGGACCGTGAACTGGGGTCAACAACAGCTGAAGTCTTGGTAACTTGTGGGTCTGAAGGGACCTGTGAGGGAGTCAAAACCCGAAACATACCCTGTGCCACACACTCACCGGTGGACAGAGCAGCTCACTTCCTAATTTGGATGAGACTTTTGTTTGCTGCTGTTTCGCATTCTTGGGTGGTGGGGAGAAGAGGTGGGGCTCTCAGTCCTGCCATATGAGGCCCTTCGGGGTCTGGAGTTCTCGGAAGGGGCAGTTTATACCTAGAGAAGCAATAGGGCGTGAGAGGGGTATTTTCCCTGGACCTTCAATTTGGTTCGAAATGTTTTTGTAAATCCCAAGCCTGTGTGAGCTCCAAGGCCAGCAGACTTCCCACACCGCACTCTGATGGCCAGTGCTAAACAGGGTCTGGCTGAGCCTGAGGCTGCTGCTGGTGGCTCTGGGCAGGGCAGGGTACAAAGCTCCCAGGAAGGGGCATTTAACCTTGAGGGGCAGAGATCAGCCACAGCAGAGGCCCAAGAGGAAGGTCCTGCCAAATCGAGATCAGCTGAGATGTCAGAAACACCACGCCACACACTCTGTGCTGCTCTCCCTCCTGTCCCCCGACTGCACCCCTCTCCCCCCCTTCCCTGAACCCCTGTTCTACTTCCTTCCTTCCCCCTCGAATGCAGAATGAAGCGCTTGAAGGTAGCAGTAGCCCCCTTAGCTCATGACGAAGCTTCTCTCTTCACTCTGCGTCCCAGGCAGCCCATCTGGAACAGCGAGCGTGTGAACCTCAGTGCTGAAGTAGTAAAGGGGAAATTGGGCAGGAGAGAGAAAAGTGTTTTATTTTCTGCTAATGTATTGACAAGATAACTTTTGCACATGGACAGGGTCCTCCAGAAGTCCTTCCATCCCTCCCCCTGCCTCTGTTGGTTCAGCCTGCCATACACAGGCGGCATGAGGATTGCCACGGTGGGGCGAGACATCCAGGGGAGGGGGTGCCACAGTCTTCCCTGTCACCCCCGTGCACCCTTCCCAAATGGGAAGTCCTTGGTAAAACTGACCCAAAACTTTACTCAGGAGCATTTCCCAGATTACCCTGTGGTGTTATCTCCGGGCAGGATGGCGGGTGGGCAGGGGCAACTGACATCTTTGAGACATGTGTGGTCACATGTGGTCACACAGGCTTGCACAATGTGATGTCCACAGTAGCACCAACCCGGGGAGACTGACATCCAGACAGCCGAAGGCAGTGCCCAAAGCTGTGCAGCTGCTCTGAGGCCTGTGCGGAACCTGCAGAGCTACCAGCAGCCACTTGTAAACAATTCACTCAACTAAACAATGTAAGCAGACCTTGGCCCCGGTCTCAAAAACACAGCTGAGCCATTAGACACTGGCCGCTCTTGCCCAGAGCGCCTGGACTCTGTGGTATCTTGGGGTCACTGAATGTAAAAGGGCTTGGAGACCTGGCTGCTTCAGCATCGTCTCCTCCAGAAACCATCTGAAAGGGACTGTTTCAGTCAAAAGCAGAGGAAGAAGAAATGATTAAAAGAAGGCCAGCACAAGGAGAAGATAGAGAGAAACTGGGAAGGGGACGATGGGAGGTGATTATGGAGATAGCCCCAAATCCAACTTTAAAAGCTATTCTAAGTATTTGCAATTCTCCTGTGGAAAATAAGAATAGCTGGCCTTTATTGAACACCACGTGTCCAACACTGTCCTAGGCATTTTACACTTTCCAGTCCATTAATCCTCCAACGACTATACTGCCCATCCAGTTAAGAACTTTGCTCAAGTTTGCACAGCTCCTTAGTAACAGAGCTGGGATTTGAATGAGGCAGTTCTGATGCCTAGACTACATTATCTTGAAGTTAATGTGACACGTTACCTCCAAGTTAATTCTTGTTAGCCTAGTTAATTACCAAGTTAATATTGGTGCAGCTGAGAAAACTTTCATGATCGATTAGCTCACCAAGAGCATTGTCTAGCAAGGAAAAATGTTAATGGCTACTCCTCAGCACTGTCAGCAAGAACCACGAGGCTGAAGGGCTGGTGGTGCGCTCGGGCCAAATTTCTACTCTTTCCACTGCCGCGGAGGAAGTAGACTCTGAAACAGGCCCGTCCATCTCGCCACAGTCGAGAAAGTGCCTCGTCTCGGAATATCAGCCCCACTTTCTTTCTGTCCATCCCTTCTTCAGAGCGCCACTCTCCAAGTCTTCAGATCCTGGGTTAAACGGATCCAGGAGAAAGCCTACCTTAAAGTGGTATCAGTGACCACTTCAGGAGGCCCCACTGCAGGGAGTAGGGCCCTCTTGCAGGTGTGAGTGGGTCTGTTGGCAGTAGAAAGAGCAGAGGCCCACTCACGGTGAGTAAACTCTCCCAGTCAAGAGCCTATGATGAGCTTCCGGGAGAAGGAGAGGGAGCTGAGTGCTGGCGCCACTGTGGGAAGAGAGCTGGGCCTAAATCAGAACCTGAAAGGTAGGCCAGGGCTCCCGGCCAGGAAGAGGGAAGGTATGGCCTTCCCAGGCAGGGACACAGCAGCAACGGACACAGACCTGCTCACAGCAGTCTGGGCTGTCAAGGGAGGCGTGGCCTCATTCCACCCTGTATCATGCTGAGGAACTCTATTCCAAAGGCAGCAGGGAGCCACGGAAGAGTTCAGAATGAAGAGCAATGCACACAAAACTGGGGTTAGGGGACTCGATGGACTCTGTTCAAAGACAAGTCAGGAAGCTACTGAAGAGGTTTGGGAGAAAGGCAGGGAGACCTGAGCTAACAAGGTAGGTGGGCGTGGGCACAGACAGGAAGTAACCAGTTCAGGAAGCCAGGACAGAATGAACAGAACCTATTGCCTGGCCTCGAAGGGTAGAGGTAGAGCAGTAAAGAAGAGGAAGGAGGGGATGACCACTGAGCACCAGTGCCTGGGTGACTGGAGTCACACTGCAGGCATCAGTAGAAATAAGGAAGCTGTGGTTTGAGGTGGTTTGTAGCAGAAGACAGAGGGGGTGGCTATGCAGGTCTCCTGGCCCTTCACACCCCACAGCATCCTCTCCACCCAACCTCCCTGGCTTGGAACTCCTCTAGCTCCACTGCACTGAACCCTGCGCTGTCTTTTCTTCTAAGATCAAGGCTCACTTCCTCCAGGATGCCTTCCAACACTGGTGACACCAGCCTGTGGCCATGAGAGACTCCTGTGCTCTCCTCCCCCCACAGGAACATATATGTTGGGGCACCGCCTGCTGGTGGATGCTCTGTTTATAGGTCTCAGAAGGCCTTCCCTGAACCTGTAACTTGGATAGGGCTTGTAGCCTGCAGGCCCCCATGAAACAGATTATTTCCACCCCGATTAGTGCCAAAGAGAGCAGAGGAGGCGTACTGGCAGTCCGGTCAGTTGGAGTGTCCACTAATTCTCAGAAGGACATGTGGAGGTGCCCTTCCTCTCCCTGCAACCCCCAGAGCTGCAGGGGGCCTGGTGTTCACTTCCAGTGCTGGGCTGCCCTCCGGGGCTGCAGCCGCGCTCCCCAGGCCTCAGACTGGGGGCGGGAGGCCAGTGAGCCAAGGCCTGCTGCCCCTGAGAGGGGCTTCCATCTTTATGCCTCGTTTTCTGTCCCCAGGCCAGACTCCTTTCCTGGCAAGTATTTCTCCCAGTCTAATAACAAGGGTTCATTTCTGTTGCTGTTGTCAGATGATTCATTTTCAGTTGCCTTCAGTGCGGGATCTTGGAATAGCTTTTTGAAAAGCTGTACCAATTCATCCTACAAAACACAAGGATTTCTGTAGTGTCTACTATGTGTGAGGCACAGTTCTAGCCCTTTTCATTGTAGGTACAATCCACTTAAAGAACTCTGAGTTAAAAGGTTTTTTTTTCTCCTTTAAGAAACTATAGGTGCACCTCAGAAATACTGCAAATTTGGTTCCAAACCACAGTGATAAAGTAAGTGGTATGGCAAGAAAATGAGCTGTCATCTTTTTGCTGGTAAAGAGTCTTGCCTTCAATTTGTAAAAAAAAAAAAAAAAAAAAAAAAGCACAACCTGTGAGGCACAATAAAGTGAAGTGCAGTAAAACAAGGTGTGCCTGTACATTATCTTTTTCATGGTAGGTTATATCTGATTAAACATTCATGACTTTTTTGTGTGTAAATCTTACCAGGTCACCTGCCGCAGAAATGCACCTTTGCCATTCTCAGAATGGCAAATATTTTTTCTTGACCGTGATTGCATTCCAGGCCCAGGGAAAATACTCACAACAGATGCGTGGTCACTGCCCTCCGAGAGCCAGTGTGGGAGGCAGGCATAGGTTGCAGCAATGGCCTTGAGAGGCATGTTCTGATTAAGATGAGCTCAGGGTGCAGGAGAGGTCCATCTATGGCTGGGAGTAGTCAGGAGTGATAAACAGGGCATCGTCCCCGAGGGGGTGACCTGGAGCAGAGTTGCACCGTCCAGATGTGCCAGGGGAGCCAGGCCCTGCTGACTGGGGGTCACCTTGGAGCAGAGTCTCCCAGGCTTCCGACCACTCCCTCCACCACGCACACCCCATCTTCTCTGTACCCCTCACATTCGGGAAAGGAGTAGGTGGAGAGCTTCAGCCTCCGTGGACATGAGAGGCTCTCCCAGGGACAGTTCTAGCTGAGCCATTCAGCCATTCATCGGATTCCTGGTTCTGTGTTCACCACTCCCATCCCCCTCACCTCTCTCTCAAAATTCCCCACCAGGCTGAGGCTTCTCAAAAAAAAAAAAAAAAAAATGCTGGGAAACATTTTTCTTCTGGAGGTCAAGAATAAGCTGTCCTACAGGAAATACCAGATTCTTCAATCTGAGCTAGCTGAGGCTCCAAGCCTGCCTGGGGGCCCTCCTCCAGCCCACGCATGTGGCCAGACGTCCAGGCTTTGAGTGGCTTGAAAAAGCTGCCGGCTCTGGCTTTCCCTGGTAAGGGGGCAAGGGCTGTGGTCTAAACGCTCTACTTGTCCAAGTGGTCTCACTACTGTCTTTGCAGTTTGTGCCATTTTGGTTTAAGGCTGGAAGCAGCTGGGGGACTAAAAACCAAAAGGCAATCGAGGATTCGAAGGGGCCGTGCACTGGGAAGGGGTGTGTGCTCCCGGAGGCCTGGCCTCAGACCGAGGGCAAATCTCGAGCTGGGGTCCGTGTCCGCTAAGCCTCAAATTGGGGCCAGAGGTCATCTCGGCCTTCTACTACCCTCCCAGATAAGTGGACATGTCTCTCTACAGAAGATAGTTAAGCTCATTCTTCCATTCCTGTGGCTCACAGTTCATGTTCTCGGGATGGATTTCCTAAAAATCCAACCTAAATCCTCTCTGTCGCAGTTTCTGCAGATTCAGTCCATGCAGTGAAAGACAGCGACCCGCTGGCCTCTGCCGTGGAAGAGCCTAGTGAGGCCATTCCCAGAGGCAAGGTCTGCGTAAGGGGGCGAAGGGCGCAGGTCAGCCGTCCTGCCCAGGTGGTCAGTAGGACTGAGGTTCCCCTAGTTTTTTGTTTTTCCCAAATACAAGTGGAAGTTTACTTAGAAAATCACAGAGGTAGAAAAGGTGAGCTGGCTGGGCTCTGTGGGCTCAGAAAACAAGTTACAGAGGCAAAAAAGACGGGTCCTTGGAGCTTAGAGGTGAGAACAAAGGTATGGCCTTGAGGGAATGAGAGGGGGAAAGGTACAGGCATGCTCTGGAGAGAGAGAGAGAGAAGGAATGCACCTTGGGGTAAGAAGGAAGGGCTCAGGGTGTGAGAGAGAGGGAGAGAGAGAGAGAATATAAACAAGAACCAAGGTTTCTCTAAGGCATACCCAGGTCCCAGGAAATAAAGGGTACTATTACAACGCAGCTTTCTCTTGCAGCCTTAGTGAGGTTCTCCGGGCAGAACTCATGTCATCCTTCCCCTCTCCGAACATCCTTGTTTTTGTTGGTCAAATCTGTGCATCTGTCTGATTGAAGTGAGGGTACTTTTTAGATCAAAAGCCTTTTGAGAGTCATGCCCGTCAGCCTCTTTCTGGCCGTGCACCCACACATACACCTGGGCGGGATACACACAGCTCTGCCCACCCAGGGCGCATGGGTAGTGGCAGGCAGTGCTGGGGGGAGGAAGGTGGCCAAAGCCAGCGGCTCCAGGCAGCCCAACGCACATTTGCTCGGCTCCGCCCCCTACTTGGGTGATGACTGCTTCCCCCGCAGCAGGGGCAGCTTTGGGCAGGACATCATGCTGTTGGCTTGTTGAATGTCTCAAGGCAGGAGCTAGGGTCCTGCTTGGCCCAGCAGGCCCAGTCCTTAGCCGGCCCCTCCTACACCTCAAGGGAGACTCCACCAGGGGGTCCCCCAGAGAAAGATCTGGCCAGTCGGTGAGAGACCCAGGATGGGTAAGGACCAGCCCCCAGATTCCTGTGCACGGCCAGCCCGGCTCCTCCTCCCGCCTTCCAACCCCACCCAACCAGAAGGATGTGTGGGGGCACAGACAGACCCGGTGAGGGTCCGTGGGAATAGAAATCCCTCTGAGGTGACCAAAAGACCCGGGACTGAAGGGAGACAGCTCCAAAGCGCCCTCTCCCAGACCAGTGCCCTTCACTGGCCACTATTCTCAGCTCAGATACCACTCCTGAAAGCCAGCTCCAGGGCCCCAGGCTGCAGCCACCTTCTCCCAACAGATCTTCCCACGGGCCAGTGCCCCGCTGAACAAGGACTCCTGCCCGCCCCCACCCACCTCTTTGCTGAAAACTTTTTTCTACGGTGCACCCCATAATCACTGCTAAACTGAGCAGAGCTGTCTCACCTACCACTGCCCCTGACACAGGCCGGTAAGTGGTGCCTAACGACTGCTTACCTCTCTCGGTGATGCCCCAGTGTGCGGCCTGTGTTCCTCTGCTCCTCCATTGTTTTAGATGCCAGAGACTATTTCCTCTTCTTCTTCCGTGTGGTTTTTTTGTCTGCATAAGAGAACTCTCTGGAGGGGGACTGGGGGTACCAGGAGGGAGTATATTTAAGGATTGGTTACTTTGGACCTGCATTACCAGCAGAACATGCCCTGGCTGTGGTGTGTGAAGGGGTTGGTCCCCACAGGGCCTCTGACTCCTGGGCTCCCGGAGGCTGCCCACGTGAATGACACCTGCCTACTGTGCTTCGGGTTCCAGGGCAGTTATCGGGCCCACACCTGGTCCACTCAACAGGTCTTCCTCTTCCTCTCCAGGCTCCCTGTGTTCCGTCTCCATCGAGAAGGCACTGCCAGAGGACAGAGGCTTGTACAAGTGTGTAGCCAAGAATGATGCCGGCCAGGCTGAGTGCTCCTGCCAAGTCACTGTGGACGGTAGGTGGTGCCCACCCCTCACCATCACACAGAGCCCCACTTCTCAGACGCCCTCCCCCTCCACCATACCTGAGCAGGACTGCAACCAAGGCTGCCATGCCTAGCCAAGGCATCTTGTGGGTATAAAGCCCTCTTTAGCAAAAGCACGGCAAGGAGGGAAAGGGGAGCCCTATGTGGGGGCCTTGTGTGGTGGCCTCAGCCCCACTCCTGGCCGGGAGGAGAAGCTGCTCACCTTGCTGCTGCCCCTCCCCGGTCTTGGCCCCACCCCGCAGAACCCTGCTGAATAGGGAAGCTGGACACAGGGCAAGAGGAGAAAAGACACACCCACAGGAAAATGACAGCATAGTATTTTACAAGCCGCAGCAAACAGACGTCAGTGCTGGCAGGACAGACCCGTGAGGAGGAGGGAGCACAGTGGGGTCCAAGTGGGGAGACTTCATGGAGGAGGTGAGTCGGGGCTGTGTATTTCTGCAGAGGGGACAGCGCTGCCTCTCAGAGGAGGAAAGAGCAGAGGGAGAGAAGGGCCAGAAGGGGACATGTGGGGACAGAAGGGCCTGCGAGGTCTGAGTGGAGTTTCCCTGTGATGAGGGGCAAGAGCAACCTGTGAGGAGTTGGGATTTGCCCTAAACACACGCAGGCAGTACACGCATGCTCTTCTTTCTCCCCTCTGTGTGCGGTTTAGAATTCGAGACTTGGAAGTAAAGCAGCCTTGGGCTGCTCTAGGCTACCACCCTCACTGCACAGAGCAGAAAACCGAGGCCATTCAGAGAGGGCAAGCTGCGTGAGGCTTCCCGGCCCATTCAGGGCTGAGCCCCAGCTAGAACTCTGTCTCAGGATGCAGCCCAGTGCCCTTCCTTTTCACTTTGTTATTTGTTTGCAACTGTTTTAAGAGGTTGTTTAGGGAAAACAATTTCTTGCCCTTGAAATGCTGGCTAGTAACCTTGAGTGACACTATCTAAACACTAGTGATCAAAGAAGGTATCTTGAAGACCAGCTCTGTTGTTCTAACTGCTGAATCTGATCACTTGGGGTCCAGAACTCTAACCTTTTTTGTTGTTATTCCATAAGACATAGAATCCTTGTTCCCATTCCAGATTTTATCATCTGATTATCTGGTCACAAAAGCTGAGATCTACTATATATAATAAACAGGAGAGAAGAAAGGAGAGTCTTAAAAAGAAAACTGTTTTTAAAAAGTACACACGATGGCAACACAAATTAAATTGTCAACAGCCAACAGTCTAAACTAAAAGCGTCAAATATCATGCATCCTCCTCAAATTCTGTGAATGTGTTTGCCACAGGGGCTCGGAGCCTAAGGGAACGGATGTGATGGTTAAGATGTGTGGTCGCTTCAGGAGGGAGCTTGAAACCCATGTTCTGAGGCTCTGCGTGGGGTCTGCTGCTGCTGGTTACTCTTGTGTGTGACCCGGGCGGTCGCCCATCCAGGCAGATACTGCTTCTCTCCACACTGGTGCTGCAGTTTAAAAAAAAATGGTGTTTCTGTGAACTTGACCCCAGAAGCTTACTGCCAACAGCCCCGGTTACTTAGGTGGGACCCCTGCTGGCTCTAGCGAATCTAGGAGGAAGCTCATCTTGCTAATGAGATTGTCTGCTTTTTGAGTCCCCAGCCTCCTTGAGGCCTGTTTACACTGAAGGCAGGACAGCAGTTCATTCTCCTTATCTGCAAAATGTCAGCACCTTTTTGAGAAAGAGCAAATGGTTTATAGTTAAAACCAAACTTTGTTTCAAAATACAATTTCCTTTCCCCCTACAGAATACTTTGGGGATTCTTTTTTTTTTTAAGTTTTGGGGAATCCATTCTGCAATTTATGGGTTTTTTTGTTTTTTGGGGGTTTTTTTTGCCCACAAATTGGGCTCCTTCTAGTTTATTTTCTTGCTCTCTCCATTAATCTAGATTGTTTTACAGATTATTTATCTGTAGTTCCTGAAAGAGGCCTCTGCAGAGTTTGGCCTCAGGCTGCAGATTGGGAGCTGGGTGTTTGGGGAAGAGGAGGAAAGGAATCTGAGGTAGACCAGCAGAGACCACAGACCTGACTGTCAGTTGGGTTGGGTTGGGTTTTTCCAAGAGACAAAGGGCACCCCCTCCACACTCTCTCTTTTCCCCGTTGCCCTATGTGGAGATATATTGGCGCCCTGCATGCAGGTGGGCTTCTTGCCACTTTTGGCTTTATTTTCTCAGCAAGAACCACCTCTGGGCAAATTAGTGATGGACTCCTTAGCCCTCCCCTCCCACTTTCAGCACTTTTTCCCCTCCTGCTCTCCGGTCAACTGAATAGGCTTCCTGTCCTTGGTCTGTCTCCTGATCTTCTCAGCTCTCCCCTCTTCCCAGGGCAAGAGCACCTAACTTAGAGACCCCCGTGGGTAATTTCCATGTACCCTTGGAAATTATGGGAAGTCACTGTGGAGTCTTCCGGTGTCCCTCCATGTGCAGCTGCCTGCCTGACCTCTGGACTGCATTTCTCACAAGGGGCAGTGAGGTCCCTCTGCCCTGGGGCTGGGAGCTGACGCCAACGCCAGGCAGGCCTCCCCCTGCCACTCAGTGGGGCCCTGCTCCCAACAGCACTGTCGCTCACACAGCCAGTGCCAAACACCATTAGGACTATACATCTGTGGCCAATGTAATGATGTATTTTAAGACCTCATAAAATGACTTTGGCTCATTGGCTGTTCTGTATTAACCACACTACCATTTCCCTCTCACAGTAAAGGCAAAGGGAGGTAGCCTTTATGATGCAGCGGATCTGTGTTTCAACCATGCTGTTTGAGTCTTCTCCCTAAGAAAAGGGGGCGCTCTTGTGCCCTTTCTTGATTATGGCCACATTGCCCTTCCTTTCAAGTGTAGCAGAGGCAAGCATCAACTTGTACCATAGAAGGAAACTGAAGCCCAGAGTAGGTAAGGACTTGCCAGAAAACTCAGCCAGGAAGAAAAAAGGCTGACTGACCTTCAAGGCCCGCCTTATGCATTTTTAGTTTATGCATTAGTTGGGCAGAGCATCTTTGTCACCAAGAAAGCCGAGGCTCCGTGAGGGTCAGCAGCCTTCCTAGCTCACGCAGACCGTATGCAAGAGATGCAGTGTCTCTGGGTGTCTCTCGACACACACCTGTCGAGCCACCCTGCACAGGAAGTTAGAGACGAGTTACCCAGGCAATATCACACCTGGGTGTGTCTGTTCTGAAGCCTGAACCTTTCCACAACTTAGTACCGCCCCCCTTCTGATGAATAACATGGCAGTGTCCACTCTCCAAGAATTCCAGGCCTCCCTTAGTAACAGCCCTTCCTGCTAGGATGTCCTTTGCATACCTGGCCTGAGTGACCCATTCCCACTTATTCTGACCCAGGTGAGAGATGAGAAAACAAAGACCTTTTTAAATCAAAATCCCAAGGCAAAAGTCCCAAGACACCTCCACTCCCTCACTGGCTCATCCAGCCCTTCCCAGCTCAGGCAGCACCTGGTTAAGGGGATCCAGCCTCAGCTGCTGGTGAGATCAAGGGCTGTGTGACTATGGAGGGCTGTGCATGTGTGTGCTGGGAGGTAACATTCCAGTGGGTGCCCCCACTGTCATTCATTCCACAAATGAATGAGTGCCCACTTGGCCAGGGCCCACTCCAGGAGCTGAGGTTAAAAGCAGTGAACAAAACAAGTTTCTGCTCTCAGGGATTTTATATCCTAATGAGTGGGAGACAATAATATGGATGAAGAGATACATCGTAAAATTTCAGGCAGTATCACATGTTTGAAAAAAGCAAAGTGGAGTAGTGGGAAAAGAAGGCTGTTGTAGAGAGGATGGTTGTGAGGCCTCTAAGGGGGTGGCATCCGAACAGAGACCTGCAGGAAGGGAGGGAAGGAGGCAGGATGGCTGAGCCTGAGTGAGGGGCAGAGTGGTGGGAAAGGAGGTTGAGGGGGACCAGCAACCAGATCTGCCAGGCCATGTGGGCTGCAACAGAGGAACTGGGTTCTATTCTAACTGTGATGGGACAACACTGAGCATCCAGAGGCTCACTCAGGTGGCCATGTGGTAGCTGCACCCAGAGGGGGTAAGAGGCAGAGAGAGCAGGCGGACCTCTGGGACCTGCTGCAATAGTCCATGCAGGAGACAATAGCAGCTTGGGCTCCAGTGGAAGAAGTGGCAGATAATCAGATTCATAATCTATTTTGATGGTAGAGCTGATAGGATTTGCCAATGAAAGGTAGGTCAAAAGCAATTCATGGTCTGTGGGGAGTGTGTGCGGATGGGTGATGGTACCACCTACTGATATTAGAATGCAAGGGGAGGGGAGTGAGCAAGAGTTTCATGCATGTGAAGTGTCAGATGCCCACTAGACATCCAGGTGGGCATGTCACATAGACAGGCATTTAGATGAATCTGGGTTGAGGACAGGGGCCAAGATTGGAGACAGGATTTGGAGAGCCATACACATATGAGATCATTAGTGCCCTGGGATTGAGTGAAGTCCCTAAGGAGTGGCTGTGGATGGAGCAGGGGAGGAAGCAGAGTCCACCATTGAGAAGCAGGGCAGGACAGAAGTCTGTGAAAAAGACAGATGGAATGGTCCCTGTGAGACAGAAAGAAATCTAAGAGAGAGGTATGTCCCAGAAGCCAGGTGGTGGTCTTTCAGAGAAGAAAGGAAGGATGGAGATCAGTGCATCAGATGCTGTTGCCAAGTAGAACAAAATGCGCCTGAGTGTTGGCCATTGGATTTGGCAACCTGGAGCTCATGGGTAACTGTTTCAAGGGGGTTCAGTAGAGTGATAGTAAAAAAGCCTCATTTGAGACATACAGAGACTGAGTCTTTGCCAAAGGCCACACAGCCAGTAACTAACTGGGTGGGAGTTTAAACCCAAGCCCTGGCTCCTAAACACTGCAACCCACTGTCACCATGCTCACTTCTAATGGCGGTGGAACTGATTTCGACCCACCCTTCTTTCCTTTGCTTCAGTCCTTCCATATTCATAAGTCTGCTTCTGTTTTCACATTTATTCTCAATATCATCACAGGCAACTAATGTGTTTTCATTTGAACTAAATAAAATGGGTGTTTTAGTAGGTCAAAAACACTTGAATATTGGTGAATGGTATGGTTTAATGGGAAACAAACGTACAAAGTACTTAGCATTGTGCCAGGCACAAATAAGTACCCAATAAATGCCAGCGATGACTTTGCATCCCAGTCACTCCTCTGTTGGGGTGCCGTTTCACCTTTCCTGATGGAAGAGGTCAGCTCAGAAAAGCCCAAGCCCTTTCCCAAGGACTCGGTCACCAAGCAGCGCAGCCAGAAAGCAGCCGTTTCCTGAGGAGACTCTCTCGGTTATACCAGCCTGCAGCTTGATCTTTGGAAGAGAGGGGGACCAAGCCCTCTGTCCTGACCCCTCATGGAACTTCTGGAAACTCAACCCCCTCCCCCAAAGCCCCCCTATACCTTTCCTCCTACCTAGGGTAAGAACTCAGGGAACCAGCATCTTGGGGGAGACAAGAAAAAATATGCCCCTGAAGGGCTGAGTCCAGAGATAGCCTGGGAGGGAAGGGATGCGGCATTGTCCATATAAGGACATGTTCTCCTCTCTATATGGAGGCCCCCTGCACCCCCCACTGCCATCTTCCTCCCCACGCTTCTTCAGGGCACAACCAGACCAGCAAAGGGCTCCAGCCCTGGGGCCCAGATCTAGAAATGGAGTTCAATTTCATCACCAACTGATTAAAATAGACAGAAAATACAAGCTGCTCTTAAACTTTTATTACTATTATTTTTATCCCCTGGGCAGCTGTGTGAGCACAAAGCTGGCTTTGATTAAGCACATGGTCCTTCCAGCCCACTCCTTGCTGTGGTTCTCACAGAGGTCTAGTGGCTTGTGGTGCACGCACAGCCCCCAGGGGGTGGTAGCGGGGCGGGGGGTGGCTGCAGGGGAAAGAGGGGCTCTAAGTCAGGAGCGCGCCTGGTTTGAAAGGAAAATGAACCCTTTCCTCGTGGCCACATGGACAGATAAGATGCACAGAACTTCTAAAAACAAGGCTCAAAGCCCATGGCAGGGAAGTGCACTCAAATGTCAGTGTAAAGCCTGCACCCAGGAGCCAAGGACAGAGGCAGGGGCTGGAGACGTGTGGTGGGTGCCGGTCAGGGAGGGCTTTCTGAAGGTGGGCAGTGCTAAAGCAGATCTGGAAGGAGGCGAGGAATGTGGACAGGAGGGACGGATTAACAGTAAACGATCATCTTTCTGCCGTCCAGAGCACTGTTGCAGGCATTGTCTTTGGAGCCCTATAACACTGTGAGGCAGAGAAAATAAATGTCGTCCCCTTTGTACAGCTGTGGAAAGAGACACCCAAGGCAGTTGGCGTTATTTGCCCACAATCCCAAGAGTGCAAACGAGAACCCTCCCCTGTCAGTCATACTCTGATGGTGTTTAGAAGCAAACCCAGCACAACCCGCCAGGAGAGCAAGAATCTTGGGCCCTATTGCCCTTCTTTCAAGAACCCAGGAAAACTGGGTCTCTCATCGTTTACTTGCTTATGCCTTGGTTTACCTATCAGTTAGAAACAAACAATAAAGACAAAACAAAAACCCTGATCCTTCTTTTATCTCCCTCCTCTGATGCCCCAGAACTTGCCAGGAGAAAAATGGCAAAGAGAACGCTGGAGCCAAAGATCACAGAAACGTCTATATGTGTTCTGCCCTCTCCTCCTTGTCCTTAAAAAGGGAGAAAACAAACAAATTGCCAGCACACCTTTCAATTGCTGTTGGTGCTTGGCAGAAGTGCTGGTCATGAAAGGCGGACAGTTGGGAGGGCCTCGGACCAGGGAAGCATGGACCTCCCCCATGCTCCCGGTTTGGGAGCCCTAATGCCCCGTATGGAGGGGAGCACTGACAGGTTTTCCTGTGTCTTGCAATAGTCCCCGATACGCTCTCTCCCTGAGCCCCAGACCCACTCCTAGACACACACACACACACACACACACACACACACACACAGCCTAAGAAGAGAGAGCAGTTTTCAACCTAGCAACATATTAGAATCATGTGGAGCTTTTGGATAATATTGACACCTGGCCCCATCCCAGACCCATTAACCCAGGATCTGGGGAGTGTAGTACTTGGGCACAGGTACTTCTAAAGTGTAGCCAAGGTTGAGACACAGAGGTTGACAAATAGGCACTGAGGATTTTTCTGTAGCTGCGAATGACCACCAGGCCTGGGGGAAAACCCAGTGTGAGAAAATGAAGTCATCCTCTTCCCATTGTTCTCTCTGCTCCTCTGCCTGTGTGCACGTGGACCCTGGTGTGTGAGCCACCCGCTGAGGGGACAAGGTGCAGGCGGTGTCGGCTGCAGGCGGCGGGGACCCCCGGCCCACTGGCTGGGGCCTCTTGCCCTCACGGAAGGAATGTGGTAGAAGGACGACGTGCAGTGGGGAGCGGAGGCAGCAAAGGGGCCTGGGCCTCAAGTGCTGCCTAGAAGGATCCCTCCAGCTGCACTCCCTCAACCCCAGCCCCGTCACAGGCCGCCCCGAGTTCTGCTTAATCACTCCTGTAGTGGCACGTGTATCGTTCTGGGCGAGCCCTGGAGACCTCTGTGCCTTGTTGCCGCTGTGAGCCCGGACAATGCCTGCCCCCGGCCTCCTCCCTGGATTGCCCAGCTAATAGGAAGTGGGCAGGATTTGTCTGGGCAGATCCACATTCTGGAGCAGGAAAGAGACCCAAATGCCTTCTAGGAGAAGCAGTGCATCCAGATGGGAACACCAGGACTCCCTGTGCCAGCCCCTGGTTCTCTGCTCCCCGTGCCCACCCTAAAACCCCAGGAGGGAGCATGTGTGAGCAGCCAGGACTGCCCACCCAGGAGGCGGGGAGAGCAAGAGAGCCCTTCCTCCCGGCGAAGCCACAGGAATGTGGCCGAAGCCTGCGCTGGAAAGTCCCGCCCGCTCCTTTCTTCCTCTCTTCGGGAGCAGGAAAAGGATGGACAGGAAGGGGTTCTGATGGGCAGGCTTCCTCACAGCACGAACCCTGAAGAAAGTTCCCTGTGGGGAAAATGCTGGAGCGTAGTGATAGCTGTCGGGCCAGCTGCTTCTTATCTGAGGCCCTGGGTGGTTTCCCCTCAACTTCCCAAAGTCCTGTCTCCTCAGGGCCCCGTGAGGGCCTCTCTGGCCCACCTCGGCCCAACGCAGGGCGATGCTACCTGCCGCCCTGACAAAGGAGGGTTTCCCTGATGTCACCCATGGTGTGCGTTCCCAGGAAGAGGGAGGTGGAAGAGAGGCCTGAGGATTTGTGCGCTCATCTCGCAGCATTTTAGCTCTGCCCACAGGCTGCAGCCATGGGGTTTCATTGGGTCCCCTGTGGGGAGGGGTCTGGAAGCCCCGGAGCAGGTGAGGCATGCCGGCCACCTGCTCACAGGTCTCGGTCAGGTGTGGAGGTTTGATGGTCAGCATCCATCTGTAGAAGGAAGTCCAAGAATCAGAGGCCACAGCTGCCTCCAGACCGTGAGCCCACGGGCAGGACCCTCCCTGTTCTCTCCTTCCTCTGTACAAGAGACCTCTCCACACAGAGCAGACTTCAGGAGATCCATAATGTTTACCCTGCACCAGTCAACACCCAGGAAGGGATAGGATGGGGAGAGGTGCACTGAGGGGCGCTGACTCTCCTCCTGTGCTGCGTGAGGCGATTGCTGGCAGCAGGGGCCTGCCGTGGAGGGGAAAGTGTTAACTAGCTCCCAGGGTAGCCTGTCCGTCCATCTTGCCCAGGCGACTGCGCTCTCTGCCTGATTTATAAGGCCCAGTGCAGCGGCGCTCCTTCTTTGGTGGTCTCGTGGGAGAAGGTCCCAGGGGCGCCAGGCGCAGGCTGCCCAGCAGGCACTGAAGGCCTCAGAGTGGGGCCAGGAAGGGGAGGAAGCTCTCATTTGGGTTGGGGTGGGATTTTCACTGAGATGCCTTTTCGGCTTGTTTCCTTGGGCAGCTGCCGACTGATGTGTGTGGTCACCTGTTTTGTTCCAGATGCTCCTGCCAGTGAGAATGCCAAGGCCCCCGAGATGAAAGCCCGGAGGCCCAAGAGCTCTCTTCCTCCTGTGCTGGGAACAGAGAGTAAGTACTTGTTCAGCTTTTCTAGGCAACCCCAGGACTGATCGGGGTGCCTGGCCTGCACCCGATCGCCCCGTGAACTCCCGGAGATGGAGCCACTGGCCCTTTCTCAGGCACCCCGTCTCCCCCGACCTGCCCACAGCCTCAGCGGGGGGCACGTCCACATCTGCCCTCAGTTACACCCGTGTCCTTTCTACTTCTCACATGACACCCATGAGAGCTTCTCCCGGGCGAGCCTTTCCTGCCGGTGGGTAGACCTTTGAAACTGGGCTCTGACCTTTTCACTCCTGGCTGGAGTGCCCAGCAGCCCCCCGGAGCCCATGGCTCACACAAGTGAACCCTTCACACCGTGTTGCCTGCCCTGGCTCACCTGCCACACGAGTACACGCACGTTCTGACATTGACCTCAAGCTCCTTTTTCTGAGTGCTGCCCCATCTCCTGTACTCCTAGTTTATACTGGAGCCAAACTGAGCTCCTCAGTGTATGCTGGACATCCCTGTGTTCCTTCCTTTACACCTTTGTTCTGGCACCTCTCTCATGGGACAGGCTCCCATGGAAGAGCCACCTGACCTCGGAGTCGTCCTTGCTCCATCTGAAAGCAATCCCCCTCCTATGAGCTCCCGTCGCACTCAGTTCCTCCCTCTGCCAGTGACTGTCTTCTTCCCACTGTCCTGGTGATGGGCGGTCGCCTTCTCCCCCGCACTCTGAGTTCTCTCGTGACTGCACACTAGCTCACTCTTCCTCTCTTGGGTCTCAGCTTCCCCTGGGGCCCACTTACCTGTAGCCATAAAACGTAGGGTCCACGGTGCTTTCACAGGCCCAGGAAAATCCGAACATCTTATAAAATTAGAAGAAAAAATAAACTTTAGGTCAAAGAAAATGTTTTAATTCATAGTATCAATGTATTCATCTTTATACCAACCCAATTGGGAATATGCAAGGGGGAACCCCCCAAAACTGGAATTTATTTATAAAAATTGTGTATTTCTTTTTACATGTTTAAACTTTATTCACAAAGTATTCTCCATTTGATGCAATACGCCTATTGAAACTATTTTTTAAGGTTTTATTGATTTCTTTTCTTAGGGAGAGGGAAAGGGAGGGAGAGAAACATCAATGTGTGGTTGCCTCTCGCACCCAGTAAGGACCTGGCCCGCAACCCAGGCATGTGCCCTGACTGGGATCGAGCCTGTAACCTATTGAGACTTTCTTTTCACCGCTGAAAACAGTTTTTGAACTCGTTGATTTTGATACCTTTTTAGTGCTTTCTGCCCATTTTTGTTTTGCCTCTTCCACATCAGCAAAACATTTCCCTTTGAGGACTTTTTCATGGGGAAAACAAAAAAAAAGGTGCTCGCGATGAGATCGGGTGAATAGGGAGGGTGAGGCACAAGGGTCATGCTATTTTTAGTCAAAAGCTGCTGAACACTCAGCGCAGTGTGGGCAGGTGCACTCATAAATCACCCACCATGAAGTGGGCAAACAAGCAGAAAGAGTCTTCAAAAAAAAAAAATTAATGGAGGCCAAACACAGCCTCTCACAACAATACCAGCTGGTTCACTGATACAGATGGGTTCCTAGAACACTCACCTAGTGGGGGAAGCCCGTACTACAAGGGGCCTGCCCTCTAGAGGATAATTCCAATTTTGGGGGGGTCCTGCCTCGTAATTTGTATGTGTGTATGTGGGGGGGGGCAGTGGTTTCTGTAGTGGAGGAGGCGGCCAAGGAAGGCAAATGTACAGAGTCCACAAAGTCTTAATGCGGCAGGCCTGGCTTCCCCTGCTGATTAATTCTTGTTCTGATTTTGTTAGAACTATGCTTTGAATCCTCCCGTCTTGACAGAGGGTATGGAATTTTTGAGCATTCCTCACAGGCTCTTTCTGTGTTCAAAATACAAACAAGATAAGCTTTTAAATACTCATACTAATAGAGGGAAGGGACTGAGCTTGATTAATTCGAAGACAGTTTCTTTCTTTCCATTACAACACAGTGTTCTGTGACTTAGTTTTATTCTTCTTCTCAAAGCATTGTATTTCCCTTCCTAGTGATGAGTCTGGGCTCCCTGCACTACACCAGCCAGGCCGTTGGGGATGCTCAGCCTTCAGTATGTTGGGTCTGCCTCGGATTATCAAGAGTGGATCTTTAATGAGTTGTTGGAAGTGCATAAACAGTTCTAAGAAAAACCTAGTAAACGTGGATTAATGATTTTTATCTTGCAAAAGGATGTCTTATGCCTGTGCTCTATTGGTTATGGGAAATGTGAGCAGAAGAGATGCAGGATCTTAGAAGAGCTTCAAGGACTTGTGAATTAGGGGTCTGGCTGGTCGTCCCTGGTCCTCTGGGAACAAGCAGGGTTGCATGGGCTTTGAGCTGGCAGGTCAGCACCTCCTGTTCTCAGCGCTGGTCCATCCATTCCAGGGAGGTCCTGAGGGAGGTGAGATGGGGTGGAAGGATTACTGGGAAAGAGAAATACAAGCTGGAGACAGTGAGCAGCCGGCCCGGGCTCTCTGCCCTGGAGAAGAGGGGGGTGGAAAACTCCACGTCGTCATCATCCAGTTCTAGGGCCAGGCCTCGCCGCCCTGGCTGCACGTCAGACTCACCTGGGGAGATGTGAAATCGCCGAGGCCTGGGCTGCACCCCAGACTAAGTAAATGAGACTCTGCTGGGGCTTTAGTGTCTGTTTAAGCCCTTGGGCCATTCCAGTGTGCAGTTGGTCAGGCTGGAGACCAGCTGTTGGGAGGGAAGCCCAGGGCCCTGTACTGCTGGTCTGGAGAAGCAGAGGGGTCTCCTCTACAGCCTCCAGTAAGAGTGAACACCCCAGGGCCCAGTCCTCAGGGTATCTCAGTCACCGCCCGTGCCCCTGGGAGCAAGATGTTCTGCTCCGCAGTGGGGAGGCTGGAAGCTTCAGTTCTTACCCCTCCAGAGGGAGCAGGAAAGGGGCTCAGTCCGCACTGCGCTTGGTGGCGGGTGTGGGGCTGTCAGAAAGTGCCCCATGTCTATAGAAAATGAACACCTTCGCGACTGGATTGACTTTAGCAGACGCTGCTTGTGTGCTGACGGGGAATTTTGCTGTACGTGGAGAGCCTTCACGTTAGGGTTACAGATGTACATCTTGCCCCCAAAAGAATGGGAATGTGCCTCCATGAGTAGCAGTGGCCACTTGGAATTCCTCTGCTGGCCCACCCACCCAGACTCCTCCCAACCTGGTTCCCCCTGAGAAGGCAGTTTCCCAGAGACAAGAAGTGAGGGGGGCACCTTTTAGGTCTGCACTGCTGTTCTTTTCTCAGTGGGGGTTAGTTTGTATTCTTTATTAACTACATAAGTTGTGTATACCTGCACTCTTGTTTAAATATTATAAACAATATCGAAATACATCGAGTACATTGTGAAAGGCTGCAATATTGGCATATTTACGTATGCCATTATGGCATGCAATCTGCACACCTCTGCAACTTGCTTTCCTCCTCTCAGCATCTCCACCCCCAGTCCCAGATATCGCTGATCGCGTCAGAAAGCCCACGGACCCGTGTCCCGGAGTGGCCTGGCTGTGTATGTGTGTTCATTTTGCTGAGGGCTGGGAAGTACCTAATCCAACCAGGACACCCATCCTTCCTGCCAGTGGCCGAGGGCAGGCTGAGTGGTTTTCTTGTTAAAGACTGTGGCCAGATCCTTTTCTGCATGCCCTCCCCACCACAGCTGCCACGTCCAGTCCTGGCAGTGAGCTGTCAGTGTGAGTGGACAGCACTTGTCCGCGCTGTGGCCTGAGAGCCCAGGGAGCATGGCCACAGGGGTGGAAGAAAACTGACAGAAGAACGTGTGAATCCGTGAGACCCCAACTCACAAGTACAGGAGTGTGGATGGGGTTGTGTGGGGAGATTTAGGGATATGGGAGACTCTGGTCCCGTTTGGGAGGAGAGTGTGGCTTGGTTGTAGAGGGATGATAACATGTTGGAGGGAGAAACTGCAATGTGCTAGAATGAATCTCATGAGGGTACACAGCTCCAAGGACCACCTGCTTATCCTCCAGAACAAGCATTTATTGAGCACGTGCCTCTTAGGCTCTCAATCCATGTCACTTCAGGCAACTCTCACCTTTCTGAGTTGTTCCCATTTTACAGATGAGCACAACTGAGCCTCGGAGAACAAAATTTTCCTCCCCAGGGTTTCACAGCGAGTAAGATGTGGAACTGTGAGGCCAGCCCTGCGCTGTGTTTCGCTGTGTTCCAGGCGCAAACACCCTGTGCCTGGCCGTAGTCTCAGAGCCCCACACGTTGTGCTGCCCGCATAGGCCTGGCAGTGCTCCTGTCTGCGCACTGCGGGGCCAAGGCCCGCCCATCATTACGGCTGAGGGCGAAGGAGGGGGCAGCTGGTGAGCTTCCCTGGACCTCGAGACCTGTCAGGGCGGACGCTGCATGCTCTCCATGGAAACTTTTAAATAACTTTCTGTGATACGACTTCAGATTTGCAGAAAAGTTGCAAGAATAGTAGAATAAACTTGTATATATTTACTTAGATTCACCAATTATTTACAATTTGTTCCATTGTTTTATCATTATGTATATTTTCATATATTCAACTATATATGTATTTATAATAGGTCATATATATACATATATACTATGTATATGTTCACATATTCACCATTCATCATATAGATACAAGGGGGACCCAAAAAACCGGAATTTATTTATAAAAATTATGTATTTATCCTTACACGTTGAAACGTCAGTCACCTTCAAATTACTCTCCATTTGATGCAATACACCTATCGAGACTTTTTCCACTGCTTAAAACAGTTTCCAAACTCACCGATTTTGATTCCTTGTAGTGCTTCTGCCATTTTGTGTCTCACCTCTTCCACATCAGCAAAACGTTTGCCTTGAAGGACTTTTTTATCTGGGGAAACAGAAAAAGTTGCTTAGAGAAAGATCAGGTGAATAGGGAGGGTGGGGCGCAGGGGTCGTGCTGTTTGGGTTAAAAACTGCTGATCCTACTTAATGTT